GGTTCACTGACTATTTTTTGGTAAGCACTGAAACCCAGGAAACAGGTTGGACACCTTTATTTCTTATTTTTTCAGTTGAGGTTTTTATTATTGTCAGATCCCTCACTCTGACCCCATGTCTCTGGAGTCGCATGCCAGTGCATCCTAAACAATATTTCGTGCCTCGGACATGGTATAAACACCATGAGAATCTGACGGACAAAAGCAGCACAATTAAGATAACTGTGTGTCTATGAACCATGCAACTACGCCAGAGCTGTTACGGACGATGCAGCTCGGTCGCCGGATTAACTTTCACCACGCCACAACCCCCACCCCCCTCTCCTCACACACAACGGGTACGGTTAATTACGTATTTGCATGTATTTCATTTATACATTCATTCACCATACCCGCTACAGTGAGGCGCTCGTCTGCCGACTCACGGGTCATGGGTGGAGGCGGAAATGTTATAGGCCCGTGTGCTCAGATTTGGGTGCACGTTAAAGAACCCCAGGTGGTCAAAATTTTCGGAGCACTCCACTACGGCGTCTCTCATAACCATATGGTGGTTTTGGGACGTTTAACCCCAGCAATTATCTGAACATTCACTCGCGTATGTGGCAGTAAACCAACATTAAAGCTGAGTCAACGGGGTGGCTTGAAAGCACTTGCTCTTATTGTGTACGTTCGGCGCACTTATTGATAGCGTGAGTAACGCAGCCTCTGTGAAACACCACTGTTGGGGACTAGAACGTTGCCATATAGCAGTGGCGTTGTTGCCCCCCCCCCCCCCCCCAAAAAAAAAAGAAAATATGCCCCTGCTATATAGCCGCCAAGCAAGTTTTGGTCGATCAGTTTCGAATGGTCTAGCGAGGCGCATAAGCATATATAGGCTTCCAACGTGGGCTTTAAAACGTAACCGCAGCGAGGTACATTGACGGATTTTATGAGCCTTTCGTTTTCTCTTTTCAACGCGTTCTTGATATTTGTCGCTTTTACTAACCCCGACGTTTCATGCCGTGCGTGACCAGTCGCTCTAAATTAACAAGATACCTGCCCCCCCCCCCCTCTTCCCTCTTGCCACCTTTATTTTTATTCTGTTCGCAACAGCAACGATCGTGGCGATGCCAAGGTTCACGGGAGATAACTACAATAAAATGCCACGACTGATAACTCGACTGTGATAACGAAAACATCGACAGAAACTTCATGAGAGAGGCCGAATCAAAGCATCCTCAGGGCACGCCGTCGCTGACTCTGACCTTGAACTATAAGACTGGTTTCCCCGCTTTCCTTCTCGTCTGTCGCCAGCGCGATATTCTTTTTCTTTGTGCGTGAGTGTGTGTTTCGTTGTTTCACAAAGACTCCGCTTCTTATTCAGTTTTTTTTCCCCTGCGTGTGTGTAGGTAATGTCAATGTGTGGAATGTCGTTCTACCTGGCAAGCCGGCCTCTTCTGACCTAATTATTTTTTTTAATTTTCAGTTGCTGTTCGAAAACATTAAAACGCGCATAGCAGTGAATTAAGTGGAACGGTGCTGCTGCACCATGAAACCTTAATGGGCTTAAAGATGAGAAAAGTCACAGTTTCGCCGCGAGGGCGAAACAATGAATGCGAGAGCTGGAAATTGCAATGTCACACGAAGAGCGAGAATCACCTCGATACTTGCAATGCACAGCTGAAGCACAAAGAAGGGCACTCAAAAAGAAAGCACAGGTATACACAGGACAAGCGTGAACTAACAACTGTCTTCGTGTTAGAGCAACGCGTTGCAAGTATCCGTAATGTAGAACCCGACGCCCTGATGCATTTTCCGCGACCGCTCTGCGTCCCCTGCTGCATGCTGGCGTCTAACGCAAGATGCGCCCGGTGTTCTCTATCTCTCTCTAAGTTTTTTTCGTTCCACATCACAAGCGGGTACAAAAAGGAGCCATTCTTTTGTCCGCGTGTCAAGGGCAGCTTTAAAATTGAATGAAAACGTAGGAGCATTGCGCGGTAGAAAACACGCCCAAGCTTATCCGAGATCTGCGAGCCGCCAGTGGTAAATGCTGAATATAAATAGCCCACCTTTATTACGCCACCGCACGCATGGTGCGTGGTTGAATAGTCTAAAACTGCGCAGCATATATAGCGAGGAGGGTTCGCTGGTTTGCGGTCGGGTGCATCGGAACTTGTTTTCGTGTGTGTGTACATATATATATATATATATATATATATATATATATATATATATATATATATATATATATATATATATATATATATATATAATATAATGAGATGTAACAGACAATAATGCCAAGTAATGTAAAGGGAAGTTATTAGAACAAATGTAATGTAAATAAGAAGAAAGAAAAGTGGGTGAACAAATAACCAGCCGTGAGCAGGAATCGAACATACGACCTTCGAATAACGCGTTCTATGCTCTGCGTTCAATGCTCTGCGAACGCGTTATTCGAAGGTCGTATGTTCGATTCCTGATGACGGCTGGTTATTTTTTCACCCACTCTTCTTTCTTCTTATTTAAATTACATTTGTTCTAATAAATTCCCCTATACATAAAATTAAATATCGCAACATTCAGGTGATAATGGCGTCTCACACATTCAAAATGTGCTACCTTTGTAAAAACGGTATACAGTTCTCCATAGACTTGGAAGATGATTGACGTAAGATTTCCTTCGATCTTATAATGTGATTGTGAAAGTGGCTCTAGGTGTATCGCTCTGTCCTGAGATGAGGACCAAGCTCACACATACTTTGGCGACGTAGCACTTACATAGATACTTTATTAGCCTTTCATAGGCATTCGTAGACATTTCACGACTCTAACGAACGCATGCAACATTGCTTTACATCATAAGCGAAATACAAAATATTTTAGCCCACACATGCGCTAAAGTAGCGCTTCGTTGCATTTCGTGGCATGATATGCGAGCGCATCAACATGCCACAAAGTGCTACCTCGCCACATAGAAAAAAGATAGGACGAAGAAATGAAAACTGGGTTTAGAAGAGAAACCAGATCTGTTAACGATTGCAGGGTTGTGTGACTGCTGTCTGATATAACAATGCAGGCCACAAACTACAGAATCGCCGATTCAGTGCCAATCGCATTTGGGTCAAGGGTAACAAAGAAACAAAAGAGCTCCTCACATCTGGCACCAAGCTGACAACACGTTCCATAGAAGCGGATGACAAGACGCAAGACCGTCGTCGGCCTGTTTGGTTGAATGAGCGGTCGATTAAGGTAGTCCTTGGGGGGCCAATTTTCTCGCTCCTCGAAGCGGCAACTATATGATGCAGGTAACCGGTTTGTGTGGCGGATGCATACCAGACAAAACTGTTTTGGACTGAAACGGTGAAGTGAGGAGCAAGCACAACTCTCACATGTTACTTCCTCATCTTCCGCCAATAGAGACAGGCGGTTTGAAGGCTCAAGAAAGAAGGCTCGAGCAAGTGCCCAAGATATCAATGAGTAAAAGAATTCTTAAAAAATAGTGATTCATGGCATAAACGTCGTATAGTATGCGTAATACTTGTCAGTGAGAGAATTCTTCACGCTGCATCTTATACTTCAGCAAAGTTGTTCGCCTACACTGTAAGCAAAAACTATCCGAATTTGGGGTTTTTGTGGCTCATGACCTCTGGAAACTCTCTCGCGTTTAACATTACTACCTCGTGTAGGAGTAAAAAGTTGGTACATGACATAGTTTTACCACCACCTCTCAGTCAAGTAGTAAAAGGATGTCAAAATCCAATTTTACCACGTAGGGAGTTTTCTATCACGTGATTTTTTACATGCGTTTCAGAGTTTATTACCACGTGACTGCAAGGTACAGCTGCTTCGGCGGCTTTTGCTCCATACCTCCCTTGTGACGCTCTGAGTGAATCCTGAAGGTACGCGAGGACCACAGATGTTTTTTTTTTGTTTGTTTTTTTTTTGCAACACCGTGTGCCTCAGGACTGACCTCGAGTCAACGCACTTTTACTGGAACTGGGGGCAGCATAAACACAACAAGCGAGAACAGCACGCTGTGAACGAAAAGAAAACACGGGGGGGGGGGGGGGGTCTCAAAAAAGAAAAAAAGAAAGAAAGAAAACCTGCTGTGGAAAGTTGTCCTGCACAGTGGGTATGGGCCATGGTTGTCTATAGACAACCGTGGCCCACACCCACTGTGGAGAATCGGTCAATAACCAAGGTACGTAAATTACACCCATTTCTTTTTATTTTCTGCTTCTTCTTCGTCCTTGCTTTTTTTACTTTAGCGCGAAGGTGTTGAAGCTTAAAGGCACCTGCATCTAGCCGCTTTTGATGACATTTTCAACGTTGGCAGACTGGAATCCTAGCTCACAAAATAGTACACCGGGGAAACGTTCTGCTCGATGAAGATGGATGGTAGGTGATAGTGAATCAGAATTTACTCCTGTAGTGCTTTAGTGCGTTTTACAGCTAGCTAGGTGTCAAGCGCAAATAGCCGCGGCACTTGCTCATCACATTGATAGGTGACGAGATCAACGCCCGCTAACGGAGCTTTTTAGTGGCTCAGAAAAACGAAATTGAATGATAGCGTCTTCCCGACGTTCAGTGCAAAAACTTCTTAGACAAAAAGAACACTTTTAATTGCACCAAAGCGTAACCACACACGCGCTCATAAAACGAAAGAGAATAGCAACTTTCTCGTCTGAGGTACTTGTCGCAATATTTTCCCACGTGTTTCTTCACTAGCGAAACAGCGAGCGTAGACAGCCACGATATAATTGTACACATCCAGCTTATGTCCACGTGTTGAACACGCCGCACGCCCGCGGAAGACGGAGGCGTTCATTTGAGACGTTCCATATAGAGTGTCAACATCCGTTACGCTACGCCGGCACGTGCGCATCGGTCAGCCCGGCATGAGCAGGTGATTCGCTCAGTGTTTTACCGCCGTCCATAAGCTACCAAGGTCGCGCTGAAGCAAAACACGGTCAGGGCGGGCAAAGAAAAGCGAAACGGGAATAATCAAATTGTCTCACCCCTCGATACTATTCTCCGATGACTGTCCAGGTACCTTGGCCATTTCGGAAGCGGCGCGTTTAGGACGTGGCAGCACGACGAACACACAGCGGCGGATTTTCAGTCGACACGCGGCTCTCCTCGAGCGATTAAGTGGGAGAGGGCTTCAGGGAAAGGGGCGCCGCCTTCTCGGCCAATCACCACGACCAGTGGCGCAGACTGTTGCCTCACAGTGCGACGTCTGCAGCGGCGGCGGCCGCCAGCTTCGGTGCGCTCTCTCCTCCACTGCTTATGGTCCCGATGACAATAGATTGCCGCTAGTTGGCCGAACCGCGCCACCCAGCGCGATAAAATGCGTGTGCCTAACCGAGACTCACCTTTCCTTTTCGCTTTCAAGATAATTCCCACTATCGCTGTCTGTGTCAGCGCCGACGTGAGAACGCGCGGAGGCCGGCGCCAATTTCCTGTCGGCGTTTCCCGCCTGAACACGACGATGCTACAAGTGCAGAGAAGGAGCGCCCAACGACGGCACAACACCACCTTTGCGACAAACGTCATTCGCCTTCCTTTTTTCTTTTTCTTTTGGTGGTCGATGCTGAAATACATAGAATAGGAGTGTTGGCTGCCTCACGGCAAGCGTTTCTGATGTAAGAGGTAGAAGTACTATCAGCGTCAAGGGAAACCCGAACAGCGGCAAGCCTTTGCGAGGATATAGTGCGTGCCGTCCACCTATCACCGTGGACAGGCACACGTATATGCGCAGAGTTGCCGAGCAGGATGCGCGCTCGTGGTGGTAGGTGCACGGCCCGCACTATACGCTCGCGAAGGCTTGCCGCTGTTCGCTTGACGATGATAGTGCATCCAGAAACTGTGGCACACACCCACGCTGGGGGATTAGCCATTGAATGGGTAGTTCTCACAAAATAATTTAATTTTGTTAGTTTAGGTCTTTTAAAATGATAAGAGTAACGAAAGAAAAAAATAAGTATTAGAAGTTGACAAATACAAACGGTGGATACAGAAAATGAAGTGAATAATTTCAATAAAAAAGAAAAGCAATTTGGAAACCAGGAATTTAGAAGTAATGACTGTGAATATTTTCATATTTTTCTTTTTTGGGATCTCGTCATAGATAACGCACATTTTGTTCCCCAGGATTATCCAAGTGGAACTACACAAGGAACGGGGCAGGCAAAGCGAAGTTTTGCTCATAAAAGCAGTTACCTGCATACTGACAAAAACCACAGAAGGTAGAGGCAAAGTGTACTGATGTAGCATCCAAGCTTATAGAAGGTGCAGCTGAAATAGTGCCCTGCGTTTGTGACATATTCGCACTTGCAGAGTACAGGCCTGGAATTCCAGATTTCCCTTTAGACAGAAAGAACACTTTCGGGCGTATGTCAAACAATTACCCCAGGTGGTCGAAATTTACGGAGCCCTGCACTACAGCGCCTCTTCCAATCATATGGTGGTTTTGGGAATATAATGATTAGCAAAATCACTTTCTGCTGCTTCGTGGCTCTTACTCCCCAGCACACACCTTTTAGCCTTCGTAGGAGAGGGCGAGCGAGTAGCATGAATTGCCCGTAGGACTTGTGCACGTCCGGAGAAAAATAGAAGGGTAGGCCAGAGGAGAACAAAAGCTTCACAGCTGAATAAGAACAAGAATCAAATCAGAGTCCAAGATATGCGACGAGATATAAAAAGTGCGAAAGCATCGGACTTGGGGACGCGTCAACGATTGGGCCTTGAACGGTGGATAGCGCTGTGTTATCGTTAAAGACCTGGCCATACGTGGTGGTGGTGGTTAAAAGAGGAAGAAGGCACCCAATTTCTACAGCCCAGTAGGGAGCATGGCGCAGGGCCTAACCATACATACGCGTTGCAGAGTGCCAGCGCTTGGCTTTGACACGGCGCTGCCTCCTCTCCCTATGGAGGGAGATGAGAGCGTAGCCTCACGCCCTCTCTCTCTCTGTTCGGAGAGGGCGTAAGGCCACGCGCTGACACCCTGTAACGCGCGCATGTGTTATGGCCTTAACTTTAGTCCGTTTCTGTTCTTGCAGTGTTTTCGTGCTTCATACGAAAAACGATGAATTGAATCTTAGCTGATGAAGAATAATAATTTCTGAGATTTCACGTGCCAAATCATGATTTGGTGATGAGGCAAGGCATGTGGGAGGGCTCTATAAATTTAGATCATCTAATGTTCTTTATTGTGCGCTGACTCCACATGCTACACGGGCCTCTACAGCACTTCACCCCCATCAAAATGCGGGGTAGGGTGACCAAGAGAGCTGTGATTGAGACATGATATATGAAATACAAGCAGTATAGAATAGTTAGAAAGAAATTCGAGGGATTCATTTCCAAGAATCGAAAAATAAGAACCGAAAGGAAATTCCGGCTGTGCAGGTTGCTGGTATGCGAGGAACAGAAAGGGAAACGCCGAAGCGCCAAGCAAGGATGTTGAAAGCTCTCGTCTAGTTCCGCTGAAATGAGATCGACCATACTTTTTCTCACGACAGAGAACGCACGATGCAAGAAACGCACGGTACACCGGTCGTACGCCCGAAATTGCGTTCTCCGAGTGATCTTGGGCTTTGGTGACGCACGCACCAGGTTCCTTTTCTTGATAATCATGATAGTCGGTTTCGAAACTGTTCGCTGTGCGTGATGCGCCTGGGCAGCGCACTGACAACATGACTCTGCAATGGCACTGCACAATGGAAAATAGGTTCTTGTTCCTGGTTTGTTTTTTGTTTTCTTCCTTGAGTTCTCCCTTGATTCTAGACTCGTGATTGCTACTAAATACATTGTTACATGCTGCATTTTTTTGTTCCTTGGGATATAATTTTTTTTATAATGATAGTTCAAACGCACCCTTTCTTTGCAAGCTCTTTGCTGCTTAGAAACTTTATACGGCTCACTGATTTACACAACAAGGTTTTAGCAAGACACCATATTTGTGGCGGATGTTACAGGGCGTCCTGCTGAAAATGGAGCGTCTGATATTTGCGCCCAAAATCCAGTTTCGTGAATTCAATCATACGTGGACTCCTTATACCACAACCGTTAATCCTATAATCTGTGTAAGTGAGCCCCATTGAGTGATAACGGGCGGGGATATCAGTATAAGAAACTTCGAGTGACAGAGAATAAGCGATTGTTTGAGTTGGAGTGCATCGATTGACGAGGCGATAGAAGCGAGTCCTAATGGCAGTAGGGAGTGACAATAATATAATGATTGGTGGGGTCGAAAGTCCCAAAACCACGATTTGATTGTGAGAGGCACCGTAGTGGAAAGCTCCGGAAGTTTTGACCATCCATGGTGTCCTTTACCGTGCACCTTAATCTAAGCACACGGACCTCTAGAGTTTTTGCTTCCATCGAAAATGTAACCGCCAGGGCCAGAGTTTGACGCCATGGCCTGCGGGTAATGGCATATAAAAAGAAGAGGAAAACAGGGAGGTTAACCAGAAGGTAGTATCCGGTAAACGCACGGGGTTGGGTAATAGGGAATTGAAAAAGAAGTAGATAGAGAAAAAAAAGAAAGAATTAGGGAAAAATCGCCAGTTATAAATCCCACGAAGTAAAATCGCAGGATAAGGAAGTAGATCGCAGGAAGCCTAGTAGCGCTTGTAGGCCTTCTTCTAAAATGTTAAGTCTGGACGATGGCGTAATAGACTTCTGATAAATGCTGGTCGTCTAACACAGAAACAAAGAGATTGTATCTGTGTGGTTTCATCAGGATAGCCCCGCGGAACATGTCGAATGGTTTCTTTGTCGCCGCAGCGTTCACAGGTGGTGGTGTCGGCTATCCCTATACAGAACGTGTTCGCATGTAAGTCACTAAAGGACTCAAGCTGATGCCGAGCGGAAGAAAATGAGTCAAAGTGCACCAAGGTGAATGTGAGCGGGTGAGAGTTTGAGTAGTGAATTCTCGCTCGTGGGAGTATGTCAAGTCAGTGAGATCTGAGAGACATGTGAATGCGTGCTTGTTTTTTTTTTAACTGGTAAAGCTGCATGTCCAAGTGACCTAAATATGTGAGTATGATCTTTAAAATATCTAACTATAAACACAAGAGGTGTCCACTAGAAAGCATGTGAATAGGGCAAATTTTTTGCTGTTCTGGGGAGAACCAGTGCACTAGCGTCTATATCTGTTCAATGCAGGAATTTGCAAAAACTGTCAACGTATACTAATTAGTAATGACTGTCCGTTGCTTAGTTGCTCAATACTCGCTCCCTTTACTTAGCAGCGCAGGTCAGCAAACCTTGTGAAACTCCCTCAGACTCACCCATGAATAATATTTTGCGCTTAGGTCTTTTTCTCATTTTTTTCTCAGCCGGACTCACTCGGGCTCATACTCACCAGAATTTTCTTCGATCAGCCTCACTTGCACTCAAACTCGCCAAAATATTACTCCACCCGACTCACTCAATCTCAGACTCAAGGCTTGATATGTGTCTGAGTGAGTGCGAGCGAGTCGACTCATGAGTCCGTTAAGCCAGAATATCTTAGCCAGCTTCGGCGACTTTGAGCGTATCTATCTATCTATCTAATCTATCTATCTATCTATCTATCTATCTATCTATCTATCTATCTATCTATCTATCTATCTATCTATCTATCTATCTATCGTATCTATCTATCTATCTATCTATCTATCTATCTATCTATCATCTATCTATCTATCTATCTATCTATCTATCTATCTATCTATCTATCTATCTATCTATCTATCTATCTATCTATCTATCTATCTATCTATCTATCTATCTATCTATCTATCTATCTATCTATCTATCTATCTATCTATCTATCTATCTATCTATCTATCTATCTATCTATCTATCTATCTATCTATCCGCCTACGACTTTCAGCTATCGTGCACTTACTTACAGCGCTACACCCTGTCCTGTATTTTTTCTGGTGTTGCGCTGTAAGTAAGTTCACGATGGATCCTAACCAACAGGCCCAACTTACCGTCTGACTTTCAACTACCCTGGCCGTTTCGATGATGGGATCTATACCAAAATGCTTATGGCATAACATGACTGTATGATGGACATAACTGACTAGTCAACATTAAAATCATGACATGTGTATCATGAATGTCATGACTTACATGTAAGGGTCTTGCTGTTTTTGCGGTGGTTTCGTTCACATGACTTACTGCAAAGCTG